TGATTAGCTCATCTTATTTATTTATTTTTATCTTCTCTATTTTATTTAATAACTCGAAATTTTACGTGGTCGTTTAAAAAAAGATATTAAATCCGTTATACATATATCCTGATCTATTCTAGCTATATATTAGCTCTTGTATGGCACGAGTCAGACACCCTGTGTGAGTGTGTGTGTGTGTGTGTGTGCGCGTGTGATGTGTATGTGTACTCTCTCTCTCTCCCTCTCTCTCTCTCTCTCTCTCTCTCTCTCTCTATATATATATATATATATATATATATATATATAGAGAGAGAGAGAGAGAGAGAGAGAGAGAATAATATGAAACAAATAATTTTTCTTTAAAGTCGATTATTTTGCACATAATAAGAAAAAATGTTCCGAATAAAAGGTATTTGTTTTTATCCTTACTTTCACATAAAATAAAAAATGAGAGTTTCCATTAAAAAAAATATAACTAATTTTTATTTAACCTATAGTAACACTATAGGGTGCAGTTCCGAGAAGCACAAACCTTCGATTCAGCTGGTTTTTTATGGAAAGCTTCTCCCCCACAAAAACATGCACGTTACACCCGCGTGGAATCCACGTGATTTCGTGGATTCCACGTGAACTCTACGTGGATTCGACGTGAATTCGACGTACGTTTTTGTGGGGTCCTTAGCTTCAAAATGAAAATCCTTGAAGGATTTTTGCCGACAACACCTTCCACTCGCGCTCAAAGTTCAAACTTTGTGTCCGCTGTTTCTTCGCGCGTTTGCACATATAGGCGCGTGCCTAAACCTAAACTATTATGTTATGTTACTTGCAACAATGTGTTACGTCCAATTGCATACGCATGCATGTACACACACATACATACCCTGTTTGCCCGCTCGTAGTTGATGCGCATATTCCTCTTATATACACACACACACACACACACCCTGCTTGCTTAAGAGGAACATACGCATCAACTGCGAGCGGGTCAAAGTCAAAGTTTGAACTTTGAGCGCGGGTGAATGGCGAACGGAGTGTTGTCAGCAAAAATCTTTCAAGAGTTTTCATTTTGGAGCTAAACAGAAGCTTTCCACAAAAAACCAGCTGAATCGGAGGTTTGTGCCTTTCGGAACTTTATCCACACTATCTATTGTGTAAGTGATAATGTCATCTTATATTTCTTTTAATACTAAACAAATCTTGCTAATAACTTTTTTTATGTGATGCATATTTATATTTGTTATTAATATTATAAATAATTTATCTTATATATATATATATATATATATATATATATATATATATATATATGCTATATATGTATGTTTTTTTATGTCGTTATATATCTAGTCTTATATATCTTATATATCTATCTTATATATCTTATATATCTGTCGTTTTATATCTTTCTTTGCATTTAAGTACCTCGAGATCATTTGGATGACGGATAGATATCCAGGCCTCAGAGAAATACCATAGTTTATAAATGGGATAATATTTATCTGCTCGAGCATGCAAGTACAACCACATTTTCTCTGTAAAACATTCAAATATATAATTACGTTCTTTAAGGCGCGACACCGACTGATGGCTTGGTAAGCTACCTGTATAAAAAAATTAATGCTTTTCGAGTTACCTCCATCACCAATCTTTAAAATATAGTTGCTGTACTTTGTAAATTTATATAGAAATATATCTCCATAATCTCCGTGACATTTACACTCATACATGATTTTATAACATATTATCAGTTTCGAAGCTCGAAAATTGATCGTTGATTGGTACATACATGGAAATATGTAAGATAAAATGTAGCTTTCACAGTTAACAAAATCATGTAAGTTTATTACCATGTACAACTTTATGTACATTTTCATAAATGTTATAGCATTTACGAAATCATTTACACAATCGAGGATCGTGTGACAAACGCTTAACTATGCAAAATTTGGTCCAGATCAGTTAAATAGTTTAGAAGTGTATAGAAAACATACAGAGACACGTAGTCATTCTATTCTATATATATATATATATATATATATATATATATATATATATATACATGTATATGTATATATATACACACACAAGGTGTCCTAAGCCCTCTTCCGCAATTTTTGTGAAAAAGTAGAACGGATTAAGATGACGAAGTGTGTTATCGTGTGCTTGTACATTAAGTCAAATTGAACAAAAAAACCTTTTATTATTTTTCAAGTAACTATAGAATTTTAATTATTAATGAAGGAAAATTGTAATATAAATATTTGTGTACGCGATAATACACAAATTTTCTTTAATTAATATTTAAAAATCTATGTGGTCATTTACAAAATGGTAGGGGACTTCTTGTTTAGTTTAACTTAATGTGGAAGTATACAAGCAGACGATAACACTATAGTTCATGTACCATATCGCGCGTGATTATACACTAATTCTCTTTAATTAATATCTCGAGATTTATTGCAAATATCGCAAAGCGCACTTTGTGTTTGGAGGACTTTTATGTTCACCTCAATCTATTCTACATTCCTACAGAAATTGAAGACGAGACTCTGGAACACACTGTATATATAAAAATTTATTTTATATATATTTTATAATTAATGATAACACAACAGCACAATGATGAAACACACATATAAAGAATTTTTGCTTACCTGGTGAAGTTGGTATTTGCAATATATTGCCAAAAATCGGAGTGGTTTTCGGTCCCGGTATTTGATTGATCAATCTTCCAGCTCTTGAATGATGTGCATAATAATTAAAAACAAACGCAATAATTACTGTAATAATAAATGACAAAAATATAGTAACAATCATTTCGTAACAACAAACGGCAACAGCGATTCAGATGTTTATAACGTAACTCGACGTCTCGTCGGTAGAGAATGAACTCTGATCAGGAGAATGCATGCATTCTGGTCATGCATTGATGTATGCGGATATCGACAATACTCTTGCAAATGTCACGTTTAGTGTATAAAGGTGATTGATAAGTACGTATTTTGCAACTGTTATTGCTCTTGAAGATATCACTTATCAATATACACGATGTCCGAGAATATTTGTGCCACCGCTTGTGAGAGAATAGAATATATTAAGATGAACAACAAGTCTTATATCGTTTTACAATACTCGCAAAAATCATCAAGATATTAATTTTAAAACATTGAATAAAAAAGGGGAAGAGAGAGAGAGAGAGAGAAAGAGAGAGAGAGAGAGA